TTAGGATTAGGTTTAGGGGGGTTAGGTTTAGGTTTAGGGGTTAATTTTAGGTTTAGCGTTTACAGTGTGCTTCTGTCTCCGCGCTGTTGTCTCCCTGTTGATGACGTCAGCTACACGGTTTTGGCGAGCGTGGTTTAGTCGAAGGCGGTTTTGTGGTGGAACCTTACGACCAGTATGCCCCGGTACATGCGTACCAGTGCCTGTCGGGAGCACCAGGTACCGTTCCAGTATGGTGCTCCAGAGGGCCCACCCACCAGCCTGCGCTCGTTACCTGTACTTGAAGTTTTTGGGGCTTCCGAGCACGCATATGGAGTGTACAGCACCTGCATGACACTCAGCCAAGCAGCTGGAGCATCACAGTCAGTAAGTATGCATGCGCTTTCTGCGTGCATTCATGTGGTGGACACACAGCCCCGTTGCACTGTACCGGTTTTGAGGCAAACTCAAAAATCCTTACTGGAACTGTATCACAAGAATGACCCCAGAATAACTTCATATGATAAAGAACTGACTATTTGAAAAATGGATTCATGGTGCAACCAACCACAACATTAAACTTCTGTAGATGAGTTTTTTTAAGAGTCAAAGAAAAAAGAAATGGAAATTGGCTTTAGAAGCTGAAATATTTTAATAGTCTGAAATGTATTCAAATCAGCATGGAAATATAAGCATTGGCAGTTTCCTACTAAGATTTTGAAATTATGGAAACTAATGGATTGGGAATCCAAAGTAAGCAAAATTCAACTAACCAATTTAAATAAGAAATTGCACTGAAGAAATTACACTAGCAATGTATTAATCATCAACAATCCAAATATTATATAGTATGGGAAGCTATCATGTAAATAGCATAACTAGGAAATAAATTAGTAACACCTATAGATTAAAATAAACTCCCATTTAGTCTGCTTAAACACTCTTCTAAGATACATTCACAAAGCATGGATCCATTAGAATTAACTAGCAAAAATACAGATAGTCCTTGAAGCCCAAAATTTCTGTTGCTAAGTAATATAGTTGTTAAGTGAATTTTGTCCCACAATTATTAAGTGAATTACTGCAGTTGATAATTTAGTAAGTCTTTTAAAAAATGAAAGAATATCTTAAGACTTTGTTGATTGTGGACAAACTGGCTGGAAAACAGTAATGTTTTCACAATCCAAGATAAACTGGAAAAAATGTGTAAAACAGTAATTAAATATTCTTCTTTAAAAGTTAGGTAGAACATGCGGTAATATTTAACTGCACCTTTATAAGCTAATTTCAGAAACTGAAGAATCTGGTTTTATAAGATGATTTCAGGAATTGAAGAATCTGGTTTTATAAGCAATTTTCAGGAACTGAAGAACCTGGCCAAATTGGCTGTGACAACCTTTTGCAACTGAGAGCATATTCTTTTCTCTTTATTGCAGTCAGAGAGAAGTTATACAGGTTGCCAACTCCATAACATGATATTGCTGCATCAACAACCAACTATCTCAATTGCCTTGTGGTAGTGGGGGATTACGTTGGTGAATGACATTGAAATTGGCTTTAAATTTTAAAATGGCTTATTAGTTTTAAAAAGGTTAATTAGTAACTGCACCATCCAATGCATAACAATCTGAAAGTAAGCCTAGTTACATTTAACTGAATTCTTTCTTGCTGTCATTTAGAAAAGAGTGAAGCTGTGTAGTACAAGCCAAGTGGTGTTGGCTTATCCAGTGATTTTCCAATAGAGCTTTTTACTTAATAACCACATTTATTCCAATTTACGGGAATTGAATTGGACTTTTTTTTTCTGAGCAGACTTCTTGTGGATTGCACACTGCTGGTGTACCATTATTCTTGGGCCCTTAAAGCATAGTCTTGTCTTGGAATTCCTGCCAGATTTACCCACATTGCTGAAAAAGATAAAGTTACAAATATTTAAGAATAGCCGAGTAGATGATTTGAAGCTTCCAAGGAATTAGGATTAACCATTTAATGTTTGAACTGGACACAACTGAAAGAAAATATTTTTGGGTGAGAAAGCAGTCTGGAAGACATTGTGGTTCCGCACATGAAAAATTGAAATAAATCCAAAGCTTCTGTTGGATTCAGCAAGGATAGTTTAATCCTACCTAAGATCAAAATCTATCCACTGAAACCTTCTGCAACTACCCCGGCTTAGAAATATCACTGTCATTCAGAAAGGATTTGCTAGACAATAAAGCAGTGGTGGGATTCATTTTTTTTTACTACCGGTTCTGTGGGCATGGCTTTGTGGAGGTAGCTTTGTTGGCATAGCAGGGGAAGGAGACTGCAAAATTCCCATGCCAGAGGTGGGTTGCTCCCAGTTCGGCCCGGATTGGCTGAACCAGTAGTGGCAGCGGCGGGAGGCTCCACCCACCTGCCCGGATGCTTTGAACCCCACCTCTGCCGCATTCCCTCCCCACTCCACTAACCTGCTTTCCAGCTCCGTTCTCCTGTTCAGGGCAACAAAAGAAGGGAGGCTGGGAGGCTGGGAGGCAGTGGGCAGGACTAGCCTACTTGCCGGTTCTCAGAGCTACTCAAAATTTCCACTACCGGTTCTCCAGAACCTGTCAGAACTGGCTGAATCCTACCTCTGCAATAAAGGATTGACAAGTATTGATAAATGTTCAGTGCACCTTAAAAAATTTCATACATTTTGTTAACGTTGCAACAATCATTGTTCCAACTGTCCTTTTTCAAAAGGCAACTGGACTTTCTTGGCTTTTCTTTTGAAAACTCTTTTATATCTCATCCAAGAAGCTTCTTTAGCTCTCTCAGTCTATGATTATTTTGTTCAATAACAAAGATTCTGGTTTCAACTGTGGTCATAAGTTGAGACCAGAATCTCAGTTTTTGGACAAAGCAATCATTGAGACAGCTGAAGAAGCTTCTTGGATGAGAAGTGAAACACCTTCAAGAACCAAGAAAATTCAGTTGCCTTTTGAAAAAAAACCTTTAAAACAACCATGACCTGCATGATTCAGAATCTCTATAGACAGTTATTACAATAATAATTCTTTCTCAGGCCAGTCTCCCTCACAGGACTGTGGTGGAGCAAAATGGATGGCAGGAACATTAGGTATTAACTTCCTATAAAAAAGAAGGGGGTATAATCCCACAAATAAATACTGCCCGGTGGAGCAAATCCCCCAAATCCATTGCTGAGTAATATTTAGATTAAGTTAAGCTATAATACACAACAATGAATTTGTATTAAATGAAAATCTTCGGCAGTTTAGAATGCCTAATTAGAAACAAATGACGAATTATTCCCAGAGAAGCAGAGATATGTTTTTAGCCTTAAACTTTTCTTGAAACTGTTTGATATTTTTTTCCAAAGAAAAATATTCCAGCTGGCTTTCCCATTAAGCCAAATTATAGCAACACTATCTCTGGATATGTTTGGAATTCACTGCAAGTTCTAGAATTAACTTGGCATAGAAAGCAAAAGAAACAGTTTGTAATCTTTTTCCCCCTTCTCCTTGGCAGCTGGCGATGAGTTTTTTTCATGCGGTTTCCAAGTAGATTTCAGGAAACATTAATATATTTGTACATGTGTACATACACACACACATACACATATATTTGTTATATTTGTGCTGATAAATAAATAAAGGGAGACTAGTATAGATCTA